ATTTATCATCTATCTATCTATCTATCTATCTATCTATCTATTAGGGCTGGGCGGTTTCGTTTCGTTAATTCGTAATTCGTTAATAATTCGTTAATTTTTTCAATTACAAAACGATAACGAACCATTCTGGAGCAATTATTAAAAAAAACGAATTTTCAAAAACGTTTTGTAAATGCTTCGTATTTCGATATTGTATTCGTTTCGTTATTGTTTTGGGGTCGTTTCGTTATTATTTCCGCATGTCTGGGCCAGTTTTATGGTTTAATTAGTGAAAAAAAATTATAATATCACACCAACAGTCAACAACAGAGGGAGAGGGAAGCTTCAGAAGGTTTTGGAGGTTTTTTAGCGTATTTCGCGGTCGCGTCCGCCATTAATAAATCGATTCGTTATTGTTTCGGAAATCGATTCGTTAATTTTTTACCATTTACGAAATTTCGTAAATATCGAACTTTTTAAAAGGAAAATTTTGTAATTATTTTAAATATCGAAACAAAAAAACCCCCCAAATACAAATCGATTTTAGAAACAAATTTTTCCGTTGTTACCCAGGCCTACTGGTTAGAACCGGCTAGTGAAAACGTGATTTTGGCCACTGGGTCCCAACTCGTTTTGTTGCAAGTTAAATGCCTTTCTCTTTCGTACAGACAACAATTGTGTAATAAGTGGTTCAAATTCTCGACTTTGGAGGTGCCAGAGATACATAGTCTTTCTTCAAGAGGGATATGATTAAATCTACCTTATCTCTCCATTTGTTCAAATCTGGCCCTTGTGAAAGCAATTCTTAGGTGTCTTGGCATATCTATCTTTAGATAAAGCTCCCGCTGAAAGTTTTGTTTGTCTTAGCCTGGAAAATATCAAAGACGAAGGAGAAAATACATTTCAAACACAATTACTGGTAAGAGAATGTGGAGAAATGAGTTTTGATAATCACTTATTTATGATAAAAGTATTGTCCAAAATGTAATTAACGAAGCACTTAACACCAGAGCAAAAAGCAAGTATTGCAATGGCTTTTGGCTGCCACTGAGAAACACTCAAATATAATCTCTTTTTTTTGTTTGTTATAGATCAGGCATGGGCAAACGTTGGCCCTCCAGGTGTTTGGACTTCAACTCCCACAACTCCTAACAGCCCCAGGCCCTTTCCTTTTCCCCAAAGCCATATTCCAGAAGCATTCTCTCCTGACGTTTCAGCCACATCTGTGGCAGTCATCCTCAGAGGTTGTGAGGTTTGTTGTAAACTAGGCTAGTGGGATTTATATATCTGTGGAATGTCCAGGGTGAGAGAAAGAACTCTTGTCTGTTGGAGAAAAGTGTGAATGTTGCAATTGGACACCTGGATTAGCATTCAATGGCCTTGCAGCTTCAAAGCCTGGCTGTTTTCTACCTGAGAGTATCCTTTGTTGGAAGGTGTTAGCAGCCCCTGATTTCCTGGCTGGATTTCCCCTGTTTTCTGAGTGTTGTTCTTTATTTACCTCTGAGGATGCCTGCTCTAGATGTGGGCGAAACATCAGGAGAGAATGCTTCTGGAACATGGCCATACAGCCATACTCACAGCAATCCAGTGATTCTGGCCACTTTTTTTTTTCATGTCAGGAGCAACTTCAGAAACTGCAAGTCGCTTCCGGTGTGAGAGAATTGGCCATCTGCAAGGACGTTGCCCAGTGGACGCCTGGATGCTCTTTAAAATGTTTTTACCATCCGTGTGGGAGGCTTCTCTCATGTCCCCGCATGTGGAGCTGTAGCTGATAGAGTGAGCTCATCCGCACTCTCTCCGGATTCGAACCTGCAACCGGTCAGTTTTCAATCCTGCCGGCACAGGGGTTTAATCCATGAAAGCCTTCAACAACATTGTGAAATGTTCATTTATATGCTCAACCAAAGGAGGTGTAGAAAACTAAACTATGGTCACTGGTAAGTAATGTGTGATTTAGGTAACTTTATAAACTAACATTAGTGTTGGGAACGAATTTCACGCAGGATTAAATAAAACAATGAAGCCTCTGATGGGATTTAAGAAGTGCGGGCCATTCATTATTCTGAGGCTGGGTGCCACATTCTTTAGTTTTCCTGTGAAACCGCCTTCCCAAATATACACTGCAAAACCACAATTATTTTCATCGTGGCAGAGTTGACATAAGGACATGTTTCCTGATTCCATATTTATGTTGAGAAGCCTCTGAATTTCAGTTGGTTGAACCCTTGATGGTATGTGCTTAATATCTCCAGGTTTTCTAATCCTTCCAAGATTATATTAAATAGTTAAAAAGCAAAACTGGACCAAAACATAGTTAAAGCCTCCCCAAGATATTTTGCTGCCTGAGAGAAAAGATCAAAATAGCAAAGTTTCCCATGGATGGACTGGAAATTGAAACTGAAAACCAACAACAGGACAGAATGGAGAAATTGCTAGGACGTTGCCACTTGCACACACCAGCTTCTTCTATCTCTAATGCTTTCCTCATTCTATGATGAAGATTGAGAAAGCTGTGAATATACAACTTCAAAGCCTAGAGGTGCAACCAAATGAAACTCAATCTACTTGAAATATTGTACCATTCCACTGTGTAAAAGATGGAATTGCATAGAATGGCTTCACTCTGCTTTAAGAAGGATATTTAGTGTTATCACCCTGCTTGAAAGTGAATCTCATCCTGATCCTTTTCATTGTTTTTAATTTTTTTCCATATTTCCCATCTGCTTTGAGATAAACCCATTTTATTATCTCTGGTCTGGAAGGCCCTGGTGCCACAATGGGTGAAGCCCTTGTGCTGGCAGGACTGCTGACCGAAAAGTCAGTGGTTCGAATCCGGAGAGCGGGTGAGCTCCCTTCTGTCAGCTCCAGTTTCTCATGCAGGGAAGCCTCCCACAGGATGGTAAAACATCTGAGTGTCCCCTCAGTAGTGTTTATTAACTGAAAAGTCCGTGGTTTGAATCCGGAGAGCAGGTGAGCTCCCTTCTGTCAGCTCCAGCTTCTCATACAGGATCATGAGAGAAGCCTCCCACAGGATGGTAAAACATCTGAGTGTTTACTAATGTCTACTAACTGAAAGGTCAACGGTTTGAATCCAGGGAGTGGGGTGAGCTCCTGTCAGCTTCAGCTTCCCATGCGGGGACATGAGAGAAGCCTCCCACAGGATGGTAAAACATCTGCGTGTTTACTAATGTCTACTATCTGAAAGGTCAATGGTTTGAATCCAGGGAGCGGGGTGAGCTCCTGTCAGCTCCAGCTTCCCATGTGGGGACATGAGAGAAGCCTCCCACGGGATGGTAAAACATCTGAGTGTTTATGAATGTCTACTAACTGAAAGGTCAGTGGTTTGAATCTAGGGAGTGGGGTGAGCTCCTGTCTGTCAGCTCCAGCTTCCCATGTGGGGACATGAGAGAAGCCTCCCACAGAATGATAACACATCCGGACATCCCCTGGGCAACGTCCTTGCAGACGGCCAATTTTCTCACTCCAGAAGCGACTTGCAGTTTCTCAAGTCGCTCCTGAGGCCCACAAACACACAAATGATGGTCCTTTTTGATTGCTGCTTCTGTCTTCTTTCAAGTCACTGCATTGGATATAACCAATGGGACTTTCTAAATATTCACCTTGATTTTAATGGGAACGAAGCTTGACTGATTTATTGTACATCCAACGCATTGTATGGATAAAGGTGGTTTAACTCCTCCTGCTGTTTGTGTGTGGCATTGGCTGCCATACAGAGACAAGTGATCCATAATATCCATATGTAAGGAGTGGAAAATATATATAGTACCTGTAGTTCCCCGTGTATACTGTCTCTTCCATCATGATTGGATTCCCAGGAGAAGAGAGATGACTAAGATGAATTTTTTAAAAAATCACAAAGGGTTTTCAGAAGCTTTATTAGCCCTGAGCACCACTTAAGAAGGAATCCGTGGCTTGCAAATCATGGGTGGTACCCGAGGGCATACGGTACAAGCGCATGTTCAGGCCTGTAGGGAGTTTCAATGGGATGCTTTTGCTCAGCACTCCCCAAGCAAAACCCGAGCTATTTTAACCTAACTTTCACTCTGTGCCTCGTCTTCTTTTTTGACCTCTGCAACTTTTCTAAAATGCAGATTAGCATCTTTCCTGCCCTTTTCCACCCTGACCTTGGCTGAGTCATACATTCCAGAGTCCCAGGAAACCCCTCGGCCTGAGGATTGCCAGAAGTCGGAAATGACTCAAAGGCACAAAAGAACAGTAAATCTGCAG